TATAATAAGTAGCATAAAATTTCAAAAAAAGGTACAAAAAGGGAAAATGTGCAAAAATACCTAGAATTTGCAAAATAGGCAAACTTAGCAAAATAGGAAAAAAAGGCAATTTGCCTATAATCCGAGCTTTAGACATGAGTTATGAAAAGTTATTTTTTTTATAAATTTGTTTATTACAAATAGTAGGTATTATTAATATCGATATATTGTTGAAAAGGAAGCCTAGATTGTATTGTATCCATCGAGTTAGTAGGGAGAAGAGATGACATACCATACAAATATTCAAAATAATGTGGTACTATTAAACTGAGATTAGGATGGTACTGTAAACGCCAAATCTAAAGAACCACCGCAAATGCTCAAGTTCGTTTACTAAAAACCGCCACGCCCATTCACAGTTTGAACCTTGTCCTTGGTTACGGTCAGTAGCGTAACGACTAGATCATTGTTTGTTTCTTGTTTCTGTGTTTTGGTTAAAGTGACTGGTTTTATTTTTAATAATGTCTTCTATTGTGGGTGAAAAAAAGCTGTTTTTAAATATTTTGACGCAACAAAAAAGGAAGGAGTTACTTTAGATAATATCAAACTTCAAACTGCACAAGCAACAGGTAAACATACTCTGTAGTTTATTTTCAATTAAACTTGCGTAGTTTTCCATATTTTTTTTGTATTTTACATACATTTTATTTTTGAATAATATTTTATATTTACATTTTTAAAATTTATCTTCTGTTTCTAAAAATTTTTGTTTCCTAATAAATGTAAAACAATACTAAATTTAACATTAATATAATATTACGTTTTTACATGTGTTTCTTATACTACTGTTGAAAGAATTTTGAAGGAAGGTAAACAGTCAATGGAAACAACTGGAAAAATTACATTTTCCACACCTAGGAAAAACTTCGTCAAAAAATCAACCGCTACGAATCTCCCTGTATATCAATTGAGGGACATTCGAAGAATAATTTACGATTTTCATATAACAGAAAAGTCTCGTGTTACTGTTAAAAGGTTAAATAATAAAATTAAGGAAGATTTAGATATCCACATATCAGAAACTTCATTAAGTAGAGTCCCAAAATGTGAAACAATTTTTGCATAAACGATTGATTTTCAGATAAAAATATGTTTTGTAGAATTATTTTTGTTTTTAGTATAACTATTGTAATGTTTTAAATAGCTTTTTTTTTTTAAGTACGGCCCGTTTGACCAATATACAATTTTACCACAATTTAATTTATTTGAATAAGGATAATTTCCTGACCGTAACAGAATTTTATATAAATATCAAACGGAAAGCGGTAGAACAGCCTTAACCTAAAGTCGGCTTACTTAAAAATAATGATTTTTTAATTGACTATAGAATTATGTACTAATAATAACACTAAGCAATATGTATGAACAAGTATCATTCACTATTTTCCATTTATTTTATGTCTTAAAATATACGCGCCCCTGGTTTACAACTTTCTAGGTAAGCTACCAATTTTATTCGTCGGTAGGCGTGTTCGTAGCATTATGAATGCGCGTCCTTGGTTCTTTAGATTTGGCGTTCACTGTAACAAGATGGCACCTTAAGTAGGTCCGGAATTTTTTGGGTTGTTCAAAGCGTTCGTAGTAAGTTTGATATTTATAATTAAATGAATACTTACGTGATAATATATGTCAAATACAAATTAAATCACAGAAGAAAATTTGTTTCAATATTTATGTGCAGTTTTCTAATTTAATAGTATATTGTTTAATGAGTGATGAAAATAGCATTTTCTGCAAACGAGCATGTTGCAGAAAATGTTTTTCGACGAGTAAAACAATATCCTTTGTTATAACCATGGCTGCAATCTGCGATTTAGGGGTAAATCCCATTTTCCATGTTTGTTTTGGCATCTACCTATATATTATAATTGAACTTTTCCTTTATAAAATCCTAAAAATTAATTCTAAGGCTGCAACAATAATTTTATATCTGAAATTGCAACCACCTACTTTCTTCACTAGAGACGAAAGTTAACGTTATGGGATATTCACTGGTGTCGGAACTAGCGTTTTCGGTTGGAGTAAAACGTGACAAAAGTTGTTGATTTTTAAATGGTTACAGAAAAAAATAATTATATATGCAGTTAGGAAATCCACAATTATAGATAACATTTAAAACGTATTTTTCGAATACAAAAAGAATAAAACAGATATGCCTAGTTACAGAAAATGTTTATTATTGTAATAAATACTCCCCTAAATAAAATAACTAAAATTTAGAAAGTGTTTATTTTCCTTAAAACATTTACACAAATCTATTGGATAAGTCATAAAGCATAAAAGTTAAATATTTTGAGGCCAATAATAAAACTATTCGGAAATAAGTATGTAGGGTGTTTCAAAAAACATGTGACATTGCTCGTGAGATTTTGTTTTCTTTTCGCAACTGGTGACGTAATGAATTTTTCAAAACCAGTTTCATAATGTTCAATATTACAAAAAAATATAATTTATATGTCAAAATTAGAAAAATATTGTTTTGTACTCAATATATTTTACAGCATAAGGCTGAGCAACATGTAGGCTGATGCTACCCAGGTGTACTCAATATTTTATTATTTTACGCAAAAGCAAAAATCTGCTCTTCCATTCAAACTGTATGCCCTTTTTTACTGAACCTCACCTGCCCTTTAAACCAAAGTCGACCCCATGGAGAAAGGATGTCGACCCCCATCAAAGACCCCAATAAAGTGGTAAGTTTCAAATCTAAATGTTTGCAATCTACATTACACGTATCCTGTAATGTGAGTGGCCTATAGATAGAACAATATTTTCAAATTTCCCCTACATTAATCAATACGTGGGTTGCATGTATGTGGGTTGCATACAAACAGCATAAGTACATGGTGTCTCATTAAAAATGGGACGCAGAAAAATTGAGGAGTATCTGATTAAAGATAATTATGACGATTATGATGATTATGGCGAAAATGGTTGGGATATTTATTTGCGATGTCCATCAGAGAGAAACGATTTAGATAAATAGGAAAGTGTAGAATAGGAAAATAGAAGCAAAACAGTTGAGAAAAATAACCAAGATTTTGTGTTTATATTGAAAAAGAATCAAATAAAATGTTAAAATTTAAATAATTTTGTTTCTTGTATCCTACATAATCTGGTAAAACAATAAATTTATAGAAAACTCGCCGTTTTTTAGTGACTTATCAGTATCAGTTCTGTCAAATAGTTTAGTGACATTATTTTAAAGTTACTAATGAAGTTATATTAGTGTTAGTTTTAGTCAACGGATGACATCAATTTAATCACGTGGGATATACACGTATTGTTATGATTCTGTACTTCCCATATTTCTACAAGGTAAACAATTATTCAGTTTTTCAAATTGTATTAAACAATATCACAAAAATTATTTGAATACAAATTTTTGAATGCGATTCTGTTTAGGCGAGATAGGCGCAATATCTGTGAACACGAGCCACTTTTTGTATAATTTCTCTTCGCCAATTATTGACTAAAAGTACTATGCATAACAGATAAAAAAAAGCAAAACTAATAAAAACATAACAAGGCTTCTTATTTAACCTAATTTTTGATAAACAAGTTCAGTCCTGGATTATTTTTTTTTTAGTTCAGTATCTTTCTTAATGAGTTGAAAAATTATTTAAAAAAGATGTTTATTTAACCAACCTCTATATACACAGTTAAAAAAAAGTTAATTGAAGTTTAACCATATATTTGTCACTTACCTCATCATTTATTTTATCCATCTATACAGGATGTCCCATTAGTGCGTATTTGCTAGATATTTCAATTTGTGTTATAAACAGGCAAACAAAGTGCACCTTCCATTTTGTTTTAGTTTTATAATGATATGGTAATACTGTATTTAACCCCAGAATGGTTTATTAAAAAATTGCAGGGTTTCCAAGCAATTAATTTTTTTGTGAAATTAGAGACTGATGCGGCAGATCCCAATAAAAATATCACAATTTAGATAGGTTAGCAATGATTTCAAAATTGTTTAAAATACAGAATTATAAGATACTAAAAGCTAACGAATAGTAGTGATAGAACTCGTTTATTTTATACAGAGTGTTTTGAACTTGTCTAAAATATGGCTAATTTTAAGTTCAATTTAGTAATTTTTTTCAAATGCAACACCCTTTATATTATTTGAGCATATAATTCCTTATAAATATTCCTATCCAACAACACCAACATGTTATTAGCCAATTATACATATACAGGATGTCCAATCAGTGTCTAATTAATCGATAGCTGTTATATTATTGAAAATACAAAGACATTTTTAATATAAAAGTTGTATGACCATATTCAACAATTATTTTTAAATATACAGGGTGGTCCATAAACGAGGAGCTGATCAAACTTATACTTTCTTAAACCAAAACACTCTGTAGGCAGTTACACATATTTGATTGTTTTCACATCGTCAAACAATTTTAATAGACTTCATTCGTTTGCTATGTTGTATATAGGGTTTTCCAAAATGCGAGGATTTTCTTATTTTTTTAAATGGAATACCCTGTGTGCTATACCACTAATTTATAATTAATTTCTTTAATTTTAATTTTTTTTGCATTCCTTATACTGATGATTTATATTACTTATGACGTACATTATTTCTGAAAAATGGGTTGACAAAATTGTAGGCGTTTGATTGTAATTGTCATAAAGTTGGCTTTTTAATTCGTAATTAATTCAAGACGCCTTTCATGTTTCATGTTTAGTGGGTTTTAAAAATATGCATTTTTATTTTCCCTTCAGGAACGCAACATCCTGTATATCGAAAAATATTTTTAAAATAGGCCTTTTTCAAATCCATTTAACTTTTATTTGAAACTAATTTGTGTATATATAACACAAATTGATTTATCGAGTAATTACGCACTAATGGGACACCCTGTGTATAGTATCTGTTGAAATATAAGAATATTTAAATTTTAGGTTAAAGTACAAAAGAAATAAAACTGAATATAAACGACAAATTGTTTATTAAAATTAATAAGTAAAACAGAAACATGAATACATGTAATTACTTGCATTTATATTACTTTATATACATAAGTTGTTTATACTCCCGATACAGGAGTGGAATAAAGGTGGTGGTGTACTGTACATTACATTATATCGTGAATTAATTTCATTTTAATACTCATTTTCAACAGGGTGACAGTAACGTTAAAAATCTAAAAACACGTAAGTTTGCAAAAATGTTACATAGATAGTGTCACAGTCATATTATCGAGACAAAGACAAAAATATACTATTTTTTTCCCTGAAGAATAATTTTTGTGTTTGCCTACTTTATACATTTAAACAGTTACAAAATTACAGTTTATTGGCTTTTAAATATTCACCCAGAATGTTTTAATATAAATATAGTAACAACCAGTAAGTATATGAAAAGAGATTCCCTGATTTTTTAAATAGAAATACCTTTTTGTACTTGAAATACCTGAGTTTTTAATATACACACCTATATAAAGCTAGTATATTTATTATACAAGATACAAAAACTATGTTAAATACTTTGTACTAGTTAATGTTAAAGCACATTGCTTGACGTTAACATTCATGAGGTAGATTTTGTATTTGTACTGAGTTTTATAACAGTTAGTGATAATACACGAATTTAACAGGCAACAATTAACTCCAAAATGTTTAATGAACATTATTCGAATGCCCTATGTACAGATGTATTGTTGGTAAAGCATCTACCTAATTTTTACAATCTTTACCTAGTACTTTAGATAAAAGAAAATTTCTTAACACTATTTACAATGCGTTCCATATGTATGGAATAAATTCATTTTAAGCGTTATTTTTCATTTTCGGGAAAAAAACTGAAATAGGTCGATATTACTCTTTTACCCCCTCGAAAATGTTAATTTATAAAGGGGGTCTTGCAGCACTGCTTAAATTATTTTCCTATACAAAGTTTTATTAAAGTTTCGTACAGATAATCCTCATTTTGTGACTAAAGGACTTAGTTTAATGCCATTCAGTCTCAAACGCACGCGCAAGTCTCTTCCTGAACGTTAATAATAAAGCTTATAATTAAATTATTTTGTACATATGGACCGCACTGTATGTTTAATAAGAGAATTCCAAAAATTAAAATTTTAATGGGGGTATTAAAAAAGATTCATATACAATATAAACTTTCTAGAACTACGAATGAAATTCTAAATTCTTGAGCCACAGCCACAAACATTTTTTTTACCATTGGTTCCTTAAATTTGCTTTACCAACAGAGCGATGATAAAATTTTGTATGTCAATATTATTTATACCGTTAAATGAAAGTGTAAGAATATGATAATATTAAATCCAAGATTACCTAGGTTACAATTAATCTTTCTAGCCTTAAGGGAGAAATAGTTTTTTTCTACACAATTACGAATTAAAATCCTCCAATAGCCTAGAAAAACTAATGTAGATACGAAAGCCTTCTTCTTTATAACGCTTCAACTGTCCACACTAGATGGGTTAATAATTTTATTTAAAATTTTTAATAAAATTTCACCTAAGGTGTATCCAATTTTTGACTAACCCAATTTTGTCTACATAAATTCAAAATTCTGCTGCTCGAAAAAAATTATGTTTACTTAGTATAAAAAATAATCTCGGTAAATCGAATTCTATATTTTAGTATGGCTTGAAAGTTTTTTTACAATTATTATTTGACATAGAACCAGAATTATCATTTTAAAATCATCAGACTACTTAATTAAATCTTTGTGAAATGTAACTGGAATTCAAAAAAGATTATTTCATTTGCACTATTTATGTCTACTATTAAAAAGTAGGTCTTTTTATTATTATGAATACATTTTCAAGTAGTGATGGGTCGCTTGGGAAAGTCTATAGACAAGTCCTAGTCTGAAAATTTCACTAGTCCAAACACACTTTTCGCATGGACGAAATTAAATTAACTTATTTGTTTGAATTTCTTACAAACAAAGATGAAATATAGTTTAAAAAAGAAGAAACGAGAAATAACTACTGACTTTTATATGTTTTAATTTTTGAGTCATAACTTAACTTATTAAAATAAAAATGTGAAAGATTGACCAAAAAATCCAAAGGTTGGAAGTATATAAATATAAAAATTGTTCCCAAAGTTTTTGAAAAAACATACAGTATGTACAAACATTTAAACTTCTATGCCTAAAGTCGATAACTTTTCATTGTGACTTTTTTCTACTTTTCCAGACTAGTCCAAAAATTCCATCACTACTTTCTAGTATATTTCATATTCCCATTAAAAAAACCGACATAATTGGTTTAAAATAATCAAATTTTATATTTTTATTTTATATCTATAATCAAATATTGAAAGTAATTGAATAAATGATAATTCTAAATACTATGACATTTGTCATCTAGTGGTTCTTCATAATTATTGCATATACATGCAATAAGTAGAGTTTAAGTTAAACCTCGAACGCTAAATAACAAACATTTTGATCTGGGAAAACAATGGTCCAATAACCGTCTGCCTCCACTTATAATTATGGCCTTCAAAGGGCAGGCATACATACATGTAGGTCACTAAGGCCTATAATCGGGCCACAGTTCCAGGGCTTTCAATATCCCAGAGTCATAAAGTTAAAGGGCCCTCGATGGCTGACTGCAGGCCCAACATTACCTATTTTTATTATTTCAGCAGGTTTTTATGAAATAAAAGTCTAGTTTGAGGAAAACGATGTTTGAATTACTGATCAATTCAATTATAATTATAATTATAATTATAATTAAATAAATCATTGAAACATTGGCAATTATAACAGTTTTACTGAAATAAGATCTTCATTTTACTTACTACAAACTTAAAATTCAACTAAAAACGGGTTTTTGACATGTTTATCAACTTTCAGTTTAAATGTTAAATCATAAACATGTGAGGTGGACAAGTGATTGTCCGCCAACGCAAATCCAACATCAATTAATGATTAAACCATGAAAATATAATAGCCTTTCAACATTTAGCCAACATAGTCATTTAACCACCAATTGCGGCAATGGGCCATCAGTTTCCCGGCAGTTGATTGTTTATTAGGTGTAACTAATGTTGAATAGCATTAATATATGGTTGCTTATATGAGTAAAATATTATTTGGTTTGACTAGAGGTACCATTTGATTCAAAAGTGTATAACACTGTCAGATTTTTGTGTTCATTTAGTTTATCCAGGAAGAAATTAATATTTTTCACTGCAAGTAGTCTAAAAACATTTTCTAGTTATTTTATATAAAAATATATAAATTTAAAGTAGAGTTATCAATTAAAATAAAAATCATCGTCAACTTTAGCGTTCGAGGTTTGACTTAAAATCTAAATTGACACATCCAGGTTTAAAAACATCTGTTCGTCCAACGCACACTATCTTAACTTAACATTGCATTGCAAATACGTCACATTAATAAGGGGACAATCGAAAGTGTTGGGAACACACGAAAATCGAGACATGTAACTGGCAGGATATATAACGATGATGATGATGATTCGAAACACACTATCGAAAAGTGCATTCTAACAATGGGTTTACACAAAACTTCACACTGAAACAACCAATACACTGACCTTATAGTAGTCAAATATAGTTTTGAAACGTTTTAATCTAATTTCGTATCCTAGAGTGCAATAACTAAAAATATTATATATTGAATGTTTCAGTCTTGGCATCTAGACCATAAAATGAAAAAAAATTCTACAGTGATTTTATAGTAGCATGTTTAAACATCTCTAGAAAGGAGTTTTTTTTTATCAATCCAATGTTTTTTTGAATTGATTTCTTTCGAACATTTAAAATATAAATGTTTACTAATTTATTTAAAAAAAGTAAGGTAGTACATCTAGTATTTAAAAAAGTAGTGTTTTTAAATTAGGTATATGAATTTTACACGATCCATATTTCAACAAATAATAAATTTTCCTGTGAAATCTAATTTCTCTATTAAAAAATTGATAGTTTTTGAGTTGTATTTTTAGAAATATGTATGTAAACTGTAGACTACAAAAGAAGTATCGAAAGTAAAATATTTTCTAAGTTTAAAATCCAAAGAAACTTTTTGGATGATACCATGGCTAGAAAAAGATTTTAAAGAAAAAAAAGTTCTGTGTTCCTTTTAAATATATAAGTATGACATATATACATATACATATAAATCGTAGACCGCTAGATATAAAATATCGCTTTAATGAGGAAAAGTTTCATAATTTGATTGGTAATTCAATGGTCTATAAAGGTTCTAGATTTTCGGCTACTTTCGGAGATATTCGACAAAATTCGAAAAACCTCATAACTTTTTGTTATAAATGAAGTTTCCTATACCCTGCCATACCAAAATTTTCATAACAACGTTTCGTAGTTTAAGGACCACCTTCAAGTTAGATTTTCAAGTACTTTCTCTACGTTTTGTCCATGAAAATCATCAGCTTTATAGTTTTTTGTAATAATAAAACCGATACTACGCGCGAATATATTTTGGGTTATAGTAGATGAAAATTGCAAGGGAAATTAAGAGAAGTTTCAGACACGATCTGGCTCAACTTGCCTCCATGAAATATTAAATAATAAAACAAAAAAATGCAAATTGACAAGGTTGAAACAATTTTTTTGGTAATAATTTCTCATTTTTTGTCTAATGTGGGGTAATATTTTTATAATCATCAGATGGCGCTCCTGTAATATGAGGTCAATTGAAACGACTGCCAAAACACTTTGCAATTTTAATAGTCTGATTAAAAAGTATGCATTATGTTGAAAAAGAAGTAAAAAGTGGGTTATACTCTTCATAAGAAAATAGAACTATGATAGAACTGTTAAATATGTACCATATTCATTGTTAGTGAGAGGAAATTACGATTTTACACCGTGTTTATAATATTGTCATGAAATGCCTAATCCGACCCTGTGTACGCGCGACCTTGGAAGTCTGCCATTCCGTATTTAATGGCTAAGTGACTTTGGCCCGACTGTCGGCCATAGTGACCTATATGTCAGCCTTTTAATTATAAAAGTTAAATGGCCATCATTACAATTGAAGAGGAACAATTATTGGGCCTTTTATTAACTTACACAAAATGTTTGCTGAGAATAACACTGTCAAATTTTCCAAAAATAAAGAGAATATGAAATTATTGCCCAAATGGTCAACAAAATATTTTAAATTTTGCAATTTTTAGTATTTTATTAAATAAAATTAAATCAGATAATATTTAGAAACAAACACTGCCCTTCCGCTGTGGGCCATTACTTTTGGCCCACCCTGAGCTAACTCTGACTCTGCCTCTATATGATTATCTTTATTAGAGGGCTTCTCTACCGCATAATGGTGTTGTTCCAACTTTTCAAAATTTCATCTTCGTTGGTAATGCTTTTTTTATTTTACCAATATGAGATGGTGTCTCTATATGATTATCTTTCTTAGAGGATTTATCTACCACATAATGTGACGGTGTTGCATCGAAGAACTAAGAACACTGGCAGACAGAAATAGAATAAAACTATTTTGGGTGCCAGGTCACCAAGGGATCGAAGGCAACGAAAAGGCTGACAAACTTGCAAAACGAGGGTCAGAAGAAACACCGGAACCAGACACAAACCCAGGAGTACCAAAAAGTACAGTCCGAGGTTTCATAAACGATTGGATTCGGGAACAACATATTAACTATTGGGGAAGCACCCCAAAACAGGCACATGGAAAAGCCTTCATAGCCAGACCATGTCCCAAAAGAACTGGAGAACTACTCTTTATGAATAGGACCCAACAGGGTTCATGAATGGGCACGCCCCAGTAAAGGGACACTTGAACAAAATTGGCATGTACAATGGGGAACTTATGTGCCGACTATGTCACAAGAAACCAGAAACGGCCAAAGACATACTGTGCGAATGCGGAGCTCTAGATCGCAACCCCAGGTTAATCCAACAACGTATAGAACCCACTCACCTAAGGATCTGTATAAACTTGTAAGAGGTATAAAGGTGACAGAGTGGGTGCTATGAAGTAACATAGGGTAAAACACAATAAGCCAATAGGCTTCAGTGTTATTCGGAGACAGTCAGATGAGCCCAGGAGAAAAAAAAACGGTGTTGTTCCTGCTTTGCTACAGAGATGCCTCCTTCATGATTGCAAAGAGTTAATTGTAAAAATAAACTTAGCAGGTTTTACAAGTTTGAAGGTAGGAATGATATTTCACTTTTATTTATAATAATGATTTCAAATATTTCTTTATCTTTAGCAACTAAACTTAAAAAACAAAAATGAGCCTTTTCGTATTTTATCTAATACCTCCGAAACTAGTCGAAACATCTAAAACTTTAATAGACTAATATATTACCAATCAAAATATGAAACGTTTTTCCCATTTAACCGGCATTATACACAAATTCATCCTATATGTCACGCCATTTATATGTTTTATTAATTTCAGTTATAGGGATCAAGGAATTACCAGATTAATATTTTATAAATGAATATTACCTACCAAAATGCGATGCCAAGACAAAAACACTCTTTAACAATAATTTATAATTGATACAAATATTTTCGAGAAACCTAAAATTAATATTCCCTACTTTTATCTTTTGCCAGTGTCCACATTCCAATCGTTGAGCCCTTGTCTTCACCTTTTAATTTTTAACAAATTGTGATAACCTTTAAATACCCGTCAAAAATATTTGTATTTAAAAAAAAACACAAACAAAACGAATGTGTTTTAAAGTACTCATGTTTACTGAAACTTAACCTAAAAGCATTAGAAAGAATAACTTTTTTTAACCTAAAGTTTTTTCAAAACATCGAACCCTGATGCCTCAGAATATACATATTTGTATACTTAAATTACTCGTTTCAAGTGTATTTCTAAAAATTATTCGTAGGTATCGATCTTGCAATCCAAAAAAGAAATATTATCACCCATTTAAATAAATATAATTTCTTACTAAATATAATTACATTTAAAGTCTCAAATGAATTGCAAGATCAATTTTTCTCACACGTACACACCTAAAAACTAAAACATTGAGTTTTGTAAATTGGTAGAAAATTCCCACTACCATAAATATACCCGTTTAGTGGTGTTCACTTAGTGGCATCACATATAGAATATACAACGAAGAAGGAATACGATTTAAAATTGTTCGAACCGCTATAAAATACCTTACTGATTGTTATTTTAAATTGGTATACTGTACATTGTTGTGTGACAGTTAATAAAAGTTATTCCTTGTTCTGTGTGAAGCACAGTATGAAGATTGGCTTTCTAATACAATAAAACCCAAAACCTCAAATAAAATCTTGATTCAAAGTTAACTAGGCATCTATTTTTTATTTAAAGCTAAAATTTAAAAACTAGTCGTTTTTCTTCGTTATGTGTCATATATTTAATGACAAAAAGTGAACAACCATATAAAAAAAATTGAACATATTTCTCTGGAAAACTTAACAATTATAAAAACAAATAGATAAATTCAAAATCAAAAAGAAAAGAAAATAAATGGTTATTGAAATAACTGTATTCATCCTTATACAGTAAGGAAATGCTTGACGTCAGGCACAGCTTACCATTGCCAAGCGGAAATATGACAGCAACGCTCGTTCCTTCTAAGAAGATTGTCAGATTTGATACGGTGTTGCCTAATTCAAACATTTCCATATTGTATACTGGCAGTTATAAAGTAAAGAAATTAAACTACTCTAACCTTCAAATTTATATGTTTAAGAATCAAATAATATTAAGCTGTCATAATAAATATTTAGATATTGATTTTGTAAATAATAATGAAAATATGAACGAATATTAGAATAGTTTGTTTCATTTAACTTGCAGAAATTTCTGAGGGAAACATTGAACAACGTGTTTGTAGTATATTTATAAAAAATATTGCATTATATGGCTATATATACCTGAGTTTTGTACTTTCTGTATTATTACTTATTATGTAACGTATAATATATTCAACAAATTGAATGAAATCTATAACTATAAAAAATAAATTAGTGTCATGTTTAATATGAGGTAGATTAATTAACTGTATATCATATGTATAAAGACCCGTAATCATCATGTAGTATAAAATACTGCATTTGAGGTAGTTCATATTTTTATGAATTTAACTATTTCGGTATTATTGACTAGTATGTACTTAAAATTAATAACTTAAGCGCGCTTTACATCTGCCAATTTCTTCATGATGAAAGAGGTTTTAATTTTTTGAATAAAATCATGAAGTTTTGTGTCTATGTCAGTTTAACAAGTGTACCAACTTCAAGTTTTTTAAATAAGTGAGGTTAAATGTTGAAAGTAAAACAAAATTATTCAACATATAATATCTATTTAGTACTTAGATTGGTTATTTGTTAGGTTTCTGAAATGAATGAAAAATATGACATATATTGATGTAATTTTCTGCTTCATATCTATAAAATTCTTCATGAAGAAATTCTCAGATATAAAGCGCGCATTATTTGGTTAACCTGATTTGTATATTGATTGTTGATGGCATGGTACTGTAGGTACTAATTAGGTAATTTTACAAATAAAAATAATCAGGGTTCAAATGATTGCCATTCAACATTATATGCTGAATTATTTAAATATAATAGAATTATAATATAAACTTCATTTGAGCTTAAAAATAATATTGCACATAAGATATTTTCTTGGAATAATATAGATTTTACAAACATTATATTTTGTAATGGTAGGTGTATGTTCTAGGAACACATCTGCATTAGGGTAGCTGTAGCTGATGGAATTATCAAAGACTAACTACCAAGAAGCGATTCATGGACAACATTTCTATGCCTGTGACTGAAACTGTCTTAATTATTAGTGTTTTCACATCAAATATAGGTCGCTTTATTTAAAGCTGCGATTGGTATATTATTGTTTTTTTTGTGTGAATATTTAAGTAATTAATTAAGTAGGTAGTGTTATTTAAGTAGAAATTAGTTTAATACTGAAATTCGTCATTAAAAGGCACTAGAAAATGTCAGTAATGTGTAACAGAGTTGCCATATATTGAAATTATGCAAATAAAATGTTTAAAATACATAATTGTTACTTAATACCATAGTATATCATACTTAAAATAGATAAGTTGCATTACTTAAATTTTAGATAGCGTATTTAAATCTTTTTAAATAAAATCATTCATATCTGACATCTGAGATAGCTTGTATAGTTCAACTTATAGTGCGTTGCCAAATATCTTAGACTGTTATTCTCTATTTCATTTTTTAACTATAAAGTTTTATTATAGACGTTATGATCCGATGATTAAAATAACAGTAAATTTATTGAAATATTTTAATTATAAACATTAACAACATGCCATCATTTATGACCATGACAATTGTCAGATAGCATGACAAGTGACAACTTCAGAATTGACATGAGGCATTTTTTTGTGACACCACAGCAACAAGCAATAAAATGCAACAGAACATGCGTGGCGTGCCTTTTTTAATACAGATCAGTGGCGGTGACTGTGTAAGGTACTAGGTTGATTTTTATTTATTATTTTCATGTAGCCATTATGCGACACACAACAAAAACGTAGACGAATGTATTCGTGAAACTTTTCCAGCTTATATAGTAGATGAGGTAGCTAAATTTTGTAAAAAATTAATATAATATAACAGTTTATTAACGTTATAAAACCAACTGTGGATAATGGCGTAATATTTTTATATTCATCAGATAGCGCTCATGTATCGTGAGGTCAAAATACTCTGCAATTTAAAAATTTTAATAATATGATTAAAAAATATTATTCAAATGAATAAAGAAAACTTTCATATAAAATAGTTCATTTAGAATTTAAAGCTGAAAGTACGATCCATCATTAGTCTCATAATACAAAAATAAAAGTGTGACAGATGATAATAGTGTAATATATCTCAAAGGAATTGTGGAAATGTACCAAAAAATTAATAATGTTCGTAAAATGTAAAATTTAATATCAAAATTGTCTTCTATTAGAAGAATTTCTGCTGTCACGTAACCTCCGTAAATGTATAAAAATTTTGGATCCGTGACAGATGACAGTATTCCATTACACATATTCCTGACATTTCACTGACGACTTTAATTGTAGGATATCTATTCTCATGAGAAAAATATTGGTGTTTGTTTCAAATTTTCTTTTTTGTGTCATTATAACTTTAGTAGATGTTTAATACTTATGAACCAAATGACTTAAATTGCTTTGTTTTCATATATTTCCCATTGTATAATTAGTAGAACATTAACGACAATATTACTGAAATTATGATACATAGGATTACACATTGAGATTCGCTTCTTGGATAGGTATTCTTTGGAATTATCTTGAAGTTTAATTTTTTTCCTGTATGAACAAAAACTGTGCTACAGCGGTAAAACTTCTGGCGCCTACAATGAAGAAAATGGGCGCAAGCCTTTAGCAGTTTTTGATCTCGCTATTCACCCGACATCACCCCATGTGACATTTTTGCTAGAAAAGCTAAAAGTGATCAAAATCTTTGACTATTGGAATTATCTCGGTAAGGATATTTTGAAGTTATTCAGATTTGTGTCATTTAATATTTAATAGATTTTTAAAATCGACTAGACTGATTATAAACGTTTAAAACGTTTTAAGATATGTTTCTATAAAAACTGAGGTAGTTTTAAGGATTTGACCATTATATCTATCCTATGTGCAATATTATTAAGAGAAATATTAAATTGGATTAAATCCTGAGCTAAATTTGTCAGCTGTTAAAGCCAGATACAATCAAAAATGAAAACTCGAAATTAATATTGATATTCGTATAGGTTTTCCTTTCACCTGAATCTATATAAAGAAAACTTAAACCTATTTTTATTGTTTTGCACTAATGACTAGCAAATACTAAAGTTAAAAATCCTGAGGCAGAGTTACAAATGAGGTAGGTAGTTTTTAGCCACCACGGGCTGTTTTTTTGCAGTTACTGCAAAAATTTTCACTTAATATAATATACTAAACTTCAGTTACCAAATGAACCAACAATTTTTTTTGTAATAAATAATTTCTCCGTATAGTTGTTTGATTCACTTAGTAACTTAGAAACATAACCATTTCTAAACGATATATAAGTACAACAAAAAAAAACATTACAATAAAAAATAACAAAATAAAAAAATCTTGAAACGGCAACATATTTACATTGAAAGAAGGAAAATAACAACTTGAACACATTTTTAAAATTAGCGTTGCACGTGGTTTGCTGTGTACGAAGGTAACAATGAAATTCGGTTGTTTTACCGTTTCTTTAATATTTTTTACTTTCTTAGATTAATAATGACACAATATGCAGCTTCATCCATAAGCTCAGGACTTTCAGAATAACAGTAGATCGACAGAATTTAATTTTGATCTTATCCTTTAAAAGGTAGATGAAACGTTGCTATACCGGGTGACAATGAGATCAGGACCACAATAATATCTCTTTCATTTATGAAATTTGGAAGGCATCATTTCGAATGGACATTTATACTTCAACAAAATGGACGACTTCCGGTTTTCCCAGAATTGCCAAAATTTCAAGATTCTGATCTGCAGTTTTATATGAGTCACCAGTGAAACGTTCAGTTAAGGTCTCTTCCGTACCGTGTGTATCACTGTACATAAAGTGATATAGGTACATGAGTGTGTAAAAATCGCAGATTAGTTTAGCTTGAATTACTTTAGATATTATTGCATTTAACGTACTTAACGGTACGATTTTACCTAACTATACCTCCATTTATTAGCAAGATGTTAAAATTTAAATCCAAACTAATTGGTACACATCAGGAAAATTTAGAGTTACTTTTATGGTTCATAAAGATGGTCAAATTATGTATCAGATGTGATACACATGGGTGCAAATTTGTAAAGTTTGATTTTTTAAATAATATTTTATGTTTTTGGAATTTACGGTTCAAATTTTATGACAGCGTTGCCAAATTTTCTTTACAATTTTTTTTTTTTTGAGACAAGAATATGAACTGAAAAATAATGTTTTAATAGCATCGAATAACTCGAAACAAAAGTTAAAAATAATTGCTTCATATAAAAAATTAATTTCTAAAATGTGCTATTGACCAAAATCTCACCTATTGAGGGTCATTTCGCCTTTAGATGGAAAATTTTATTATCAATTTAATAATACGCACCATGCACCACTTTTTCCAGTTCATAGTTTGATATAACAAAAACAAATAATTTTAAAATCGGTTTAAAAAATAAAATTTAATGGTATTTTGGATAAAACCAAAAATTTGGCGTTTTCTTTAAGTACCAGTACAAATTCAAAATGGTTTTTTTCCCAAATTCTATCCAAATCGCTTAATAAATAAAAGAGGTATATTAACGTGGCCCTAGTTTCATTCTAACCCGATATAATTTATAAACATTCATTAAATTATTGCCTAAATAGTCTTGATAAGTGATGGTAAAATTGAATCAATTCGTTGGGTCTAGATACCAAAACTTTCCAATTTTTTCAATATTTAATAATTGCCTTTTCTCATGTTTCTTAAAATATAATTATTGAGTTTTTTTATTAACAAAATATATTAGTAACAAGTCAGAGTAATGCCTTGTTGTCAAAACGTTATTAAATTTGAAGGTTATCAAATTAGTAGTAAAGTTTAAAGAAAAAATATTATTAACAATTAATTTAATTTTTGACCTGTGTTTCAAAGATGATAAAGTTAAATTTTAAACAATATAACCAGATTCTAAAAAGAAAATCAAATCAGTTATTTATTTTTTTGGGAATAAACTTTTGTAAATTAATCAGTACTAAAAAGGACGATTTAATGTTGACCTTGATCTATTTGACAAGCAGTATTGCATAATTTTTCGAGAAAAGGCAACAATAAATAAATATGATAGAAAAATTCACCACGTGAAATCCGTCGTTATTTTTTAATTTAAATTCAAAATTAGAAATAAAAAATTTAACTTTTATTATACATGTTATGGTAGGGGAGCCAGCAACACTTTCATTCGCGCAAGACTAAATTAAAAATGTTTTATTCATTCTTGCCTTGTAGAATATGAAAATACTTTTATTGCGGACGCACCAGCGGTGGAGCATTCGATGACAAGTGTCTTAAAAAGGCAGTTATAGGAAATGCTAATGTCACATATTTGATTAGACAATTAACTTGACATACCCCTTTACGCCTCAGTTCGTTAAAGTACTAAACTTTTGTTTCGGGACCTTAGTTCAATTTTTAATAGGAGCAATCTTTTTTATATTTTTATTTTGGAAAAGTATGAAAAATGAATAAATGCTACTGTTGCTGTTTATTTACTTTAAATACATTTTAATAATCATAATATAATGGCTACAGTTAGATAATCTGTTAATTTTTACGCTATTTATTTTGGACTATTCTGAACCGTTATCAAAATAGTACAATTATTTAAAAAATGGAAAAACATTTGCAATTTTTTTTATTAATTTTTATTCTTTCAAAACTAGAAATATGAAGGAAGAAAAAATATAAGAAAATATCGCAATGTCTTTTTTGCATATAGAATTTTAAAGAATTTTCAACGGGTTTAAGGGATCAATACAAAACTTAAAAAAAACGGTTCTGAATAGTACAAAATATATAGCGGAAATTATTAACGCATTACCTAACTGCACGGGTTTTATTACGATAAATAAAATATATGTACCCTATAAAAAACAGCGATAGTCTTATTTTTCAATAAATTTTTCCAAAATTGAAGAATAAAAAATATTACTTTTATCGGGGATTGAACCCGGGTCGTGAAATCCAAAGCAGAGCGAGCGACACCGAGCTAAACTATCAAGTTAATTATCTAATTAAATATGTGACATTTCCTACGACTTTTTTAAGACGTCTTCGTCGAGCTCTCGACTACTGCAGACACTTCAACAAAGTATTATCAAGATTCTACAAGGTAAGAATAAACGAAAAATGTATATTTGTGCCTTGCGAAATTAACACACCTAAAAGTGTCACTGACTCCCCTAATATTAGAATTTAATTAACAATATACTAATTAAAATTCGGATTAAACTCCCTTGACCAATACGAGGTATACAAAAAAATGTATGAAGCACACACCCCGTACGAGCTCAACTGTTACCCTGAAATGCCCTTAAATTTACGGAAAGTACTTATGTATGACATCTATAGCAGCAATTATATTTTTTATTGAACAACAACCGATGTGACTTTCCTTCTCAAAATATATTTACACCAGATCTGAAGTAATAGTCACATACCGAAGGGAAAGTACCTTAAGGGTTGTGGTTGAGTACCTGCTGTTGCTGTTGTTGGTTTTGTTGGTTTTGTTGATAAGCCTTCAAACTTAATTCGGCCTTGTGTTCTCTTGCAATATGCCTTCTAACTGTGTTGTTACGCGTAAATGTTCGCGAGCAGAACGGGCATGGCACTCTGATACCCTGATGCCTTTGCCGTATGTGTGCCCTCAAGTTGGTTTCGTAGCCATATAATCTTTCGCAAAAAGGGCACTTTAATTTCTTTCCTGAAACACAAATTGTATAAATTAATTAATAAATCTAAAGTAAAGGGAATGCGCCGATAAGCGTATAAACATCGTTCAGAGCAATAGTGGCACAACTAAAAAAATTCGAAAATCATAGATAAATGTAGTAGAAACCTTTTGACTCCCTACTTTTTTAGAAAATTAAATTAATTTATAAGAAGAACGCCACTGAAATCCTACATCTGTTTTAAAATTTTTTGGTATCTGTTTGTGAAAGATTTAATTACTGAGTTACATTCCCCAGAAAGAAAGTTATAGTGAAAAATACTGACAATGAATTTTTTCTACTGATCTTAAATTACTGAATATTTATAAGTTAATAGCTATTTATGCAACCAGTTACGAAACATCTTATTTTATGTGATGAGTGGATCATATATACATCCCACATACTCAGTTTATTTTAACAGGAGATTTTAATTTTGACAAATATTCAAACGATAGTTTTAATAATTTATGTATGCTTTTGTCCTGTTTTGACCTTGTGCCAATAGTTACTTGGCCAACAAGAGTCACTGAAAATTCCTGCACATTAATTGATTAAATTTTCGTGAGCAGCTGTAAATACAATGTTACGTGTTGTGTCACTGATAACGAAATTTCAGATCATCGTTATTCTTTTGTGATTTCATTCTCTTAAAGATTTAGAAAAGGATTCAAAAATGAATGTAGCGAAAGGAAATTTTAGTGAACATAATATAGAGCAGTTTAAGCAAGCTCTTTCCAATGAAGACTGGACAATTTTAAATAATATTAGTACTCTTGATAATGCATTTTCGTACTTTTATAACATTTTTAAAAATCGTTTAAATTTTTTCTTTCCTCAAAAACAAAGTAACTTACAAAAAAAAAAAGTTGGATAGATGCCGAAAATGCTGCCTCAAGTCGATCACTAAAAGACCTTTTTATGTTAAAAAAATGTAATCCTCATTTTACCAAAATATATAATGAACATAAGAAAAATCATTCCATTTTATTACAATCAAAAAAAAAGAGAACATTATCAAAAAAGTAAAGTAAAGGCAAGACAATACTATTAAGGCTTGTTGGAATGTTGCATCAAAAATTACGAATAGGCAAAGTTCTGTCCCAACTATGGTATAGTTTTTTTAAATATGATCCTGGTCATTTGGTCGACAAAATAATAACAAAGTCTACTAGTAACATCGAAGGAATCACATCAAATAAAGATTCTTTCTTCCTCACTCCATTTTCTCACACAGAATTATTATTCTTTTTTTTTGTGTCATCGGCATCAACTGCTAAGGTTATTAGCCTCGTGTTCTATGTAGGCTTTGTTACTGTTTCCCAGCGCCACTTTAGGAACAGCACTGTTAATTAGAACCCAACAGTGAATGGTCAAGTGGGGAATCCTACTAATTATTATTATTATTATTATTATTATTAGTTTTGAAAATGTCCTTCTTAATAATGGGAATGATAGCAATTGCTTTCTAGGAATCCAAATAGATCAACACATCGATTGGAAAGACCATTGTAGAGAACTGGTTAAAAAAATTAATCGCTAAAGTTTCTTTTCACGAATGTATGGTCTATACTTGAAGTTCGTCAATTAGTTATGGTGTATTTTGCACAAGTAGACTCGTCTAAGAAACGGTGTTCAACCTACACTAAAAATGTTGACGAAATTTGCATTTTAGAAATTTTAGAACATAAACAATAATTATTAAAATACAAACTTTGTCAAAACCATGAGAGTAAATCTAGTGTTATCAAGGGTACTTTTTTGTAGTAAATGAGTACCCAATCCAAATTTCATACTCAAACCCCTTTTTTGCAATTGGCGTAGAATTTTTAAAGGTGCAATTACTTAAAAAATCAAGTTCTACGCCTATGTATTATTATCGGACAAAATTTTATACGATGAAAAACATAAAAATGTACTTTTTTCATATCTTTTTCAACACCTCTAATCGAGACTTTTAACAAAAATACTCGATTCTTGCCATGTATGATTTTTTGAGGAATATTAATTATTTGCCTGCAATACGTATACAAAAAACATTTATTGTTGGTTTCCATAGTTTCATCTAAATAAAAATACTGTCAAGTTTTAACACCTAATCTCTTGTTAACGATTGAAAGTGTTCTGACTCAATAATTAAAAAAACAAATGCGTGGTTTATTAATATGGCTGTACAATATACCAATGCAGAATATACCGATATGTTACTGACATTAGGATTTTGTGAAGGAAATGCTCGAGAGAGTGTCAGGGTGTACTCTGAAAGGTTTTCAAATCGTCGTGTATCTGGCCACCCAACTTTTGCTGCTGTTGAGAGACGTCTTCGGGAGACCGGTCCCTTTGCTCCCAATACTGTTGATAATGGAAGAGAACGTTTTGTAAGGATTCCTGAAGTTGAAGAAGACATTTTAGAACGTGTTGAAGAAGATCCAGAATTAAGCACCAGACGAATTGGAAGGGAACTAGGAGTAAGTAAAGATGTCGATCATAAAGTGCTTAGAGAACAATTGCTATATCCATACCATAAGAAGCCAGTACAAGAATTATTAGTCCATGATCCTCAAATTCATTTGGGTTTTTGTCGATTTGTTAATATGCAAAGAGAAAGAGATCCAAACTTTGCCAAGAAGGTTCTCTTTACCGATAAAGCTGGTTTTACAAGAAGAGGTATAACTAATACCCATAATGAACATGTTTATGCCGTTGAAAATCCGCATGCAATAAAGGTAAACCATTTTCAGCACGAATTCAAAATTAATGTGTGGGCTGGAATAATTGGTAATTTCATTGTTGGTCCTGTCATACTTCCACGAAGATTAACTGGAGAAAATTATAAATTATTTGGATTTTCTACAAAATACGTTGCCAGAATTGTTAGAAGATTTACCTCTCCAACTTCGGAGAGATATGTGGTTTATGCAAGATGGAGCTCCACGACATTTTTCTTTAAACGTTAGAAACCACTTGAATGAACAATATCCACACAAATGGATAGGCAGAGGTAATGACGCACCTGTAAACTGGCCACCACGTTCCCCAGACCTAACACCGATGGATTACTTTTTATGGGGACATCTGAAATCCACAGTTTACAGGGAACCTGTAGAAAATGAGGAACAACTCTGGCAACGTATTCAAGATGCAATAAACAATCTTAGGAGGTGATGAAGAAGTTATGGAAAGGATACATTTTAATTTTCTTCGACGTATAAATCTTTGCATGCGTGAAAATGGTGAACATTTTGAACAATTTTTGTAAAATCTCTATTTTGATTATGTTGTAAATATATATTTTTATGAAACCTATACACTCTAAATTATTAAAACAGAAATTTAGCGAAAACCATGAGAGTAATCGAGTCTTATCAAGAGTACCTTTTTTAAAGTAAATGAGTTGCGCAATCTAAATTTCATACTCAAACTCCTTTTCTTCCATTGGCGTAGAATTTTTAAAGGTGCAATTATTTAAAAAATCAAGTTCTACGCCTATGTATTATTATCGGACAAAATTTTAATACCATTTTTTTTGCCACATAAAACTCTACCAATATACCAAATTTCAGCAAAATCGTATATGCCGTTTGAAATTTATATGGGAAAAAGGATTTAAAAATTGTAACTTCAAGGCCCTCTGGAGCCCAAACGAAGCAACTTTGTACTAAAGTAATTTTACTTAAATCAACTTATTTTTGTCTAAGGAATATGTGGTATGTTTTTGTAAAGACCCATATTAACGGCAAGTAAAGTATTTGATATTTACAGTTAAATAAAGTGTTACTTCACTTCCAAAAATCGCTATAGCCCTATTGACTGTTGGCCATAGAAATAGTAATGATTATTTTCTTACCATCAGCGGTGTTTACCGTTCCAGCCTTGCAGTTAAGTTTTCCAGCGACAGTACTCCATAAATCCGCCGATATAAGACCTTTATCCCTGTCATGGTTGTAATTTGTTTGAGATCCGATAGAGCCATTTGCAGATGTGGTGTTATTTAGCATGTTACCTTTCATACCGTTTCCGTTTCCATTTCCATTTCCTCCTGTACTACTAGGTGACTCGTCTTGTTGTATTGCCGGTTCCATCTTCTTTCGTAAATCTAAATAAATACGTAACAAAAGATCTCAATGAAAACAAAATTAGAAAGTATAATATTATTGAATGAAAAAATAACAAAGATTAAAATTGGTTAAAATTAATAAAAATAACGCAATTCTACTTTAAAGTTGAAAAATATATGACTCTACTACTATTGTAAACAAAATTGATGTTGCATACAGCGTTGTGAAACAAATAAAGTTGGTATATAGGATTTGGTTGAAAATAAGTATGTTTATCAACAAACCAACCACGAAATGAAACATGTTGCAGTATATTGTGATTATTTAAAGTTGATGTAAGCAAATTATGAAGATGATACCTCCAATTTAATTAATACAGTTACAAATAACATTGCAACGTCAGCATTAAAGAAGAAAGTAAAACATACTACGGTTCCTCAAAGAGTTGAAGCGATATCATCTATCACCATTAGGTTTGGGGAAAATTATGGTAATATGTAATAGATTGCTTAGATATTCAAATTGAAAAACTTAATAATACTATTGATTAGACACTAACATGGTCACAATAAAAAAAAAGTAATATTTAATTTTCTGCAGGTTTGAGGAAATTATTTAAATGTTTTACCGAATAATTTTCTGATGATAGCAGGTCGTGATTTTAAAGAGATTGCAGTTATATTACAAAAAATATGTATTCTTGTGAGACCACCAAGTGATACAGGCGTTGAGGTTGATGGAATTCTAGGCAATTGGACAATTGGAGCGATTACGGGTCATTGACTATGCCCGGTTAATGATGGAATAGACCAGAAATATATATGGATAAAAACAGATCATCAAGCATACCAGTGATCTATGGGAGCGAGATGCAAGATTGTAGTTACCAATTTTATTATGTTGGAAAGTGTTAGTGCAGCGATTGCCGAAATGTGCAAATATCTACAAAGAGGTACAATGGCTTCACTATTTATTATCTTAGATTAAGGAGACTGGAGATGTAACATAAACCAGTTTTTAAGCTGCGCGGATGTTGCTGGATTCTAAAGATGGTTTAAATTAATCTGATCAAACAGAACAGCACTTTTGTTTTCTTTTATATTATATTTCGTTTATTTAATAGTAACTTTTCCATAAGAGACTACAATAAAACGCCGAAATACTTAGTATACTGTTTAATGAGCGAGAAATGGTACTCATTGCCTACTAGTATTATACGCTGTGTACCTAAATTAACGCCTAATTTTAAAAATCGTGTTAAATAATTTAAATGTTTCGATTTTTGTGATAATATATACATATATATTTCTTACCTCCGGTATATTGTAAAGATTTATCGCTATAACTGCAAAAATGCTGTTGGTTTGTATCATTTTTTGCAAATAAATTTAAAACATGATAACAGTTCTTCATTTTAATTCCAATTTAGTTTGGTTTGAATACGTTTAGTTAAATCTTCAAAGTTATTAAGTATTTTCCTTTAAAAGCAACAGCAAGAAAATTTAAATTTGTCAGAATCAGATTGTATTAGAATCGTTACTCTTCACGAAGAAGGATACACTCAAGTTGAACTCGCTGAACTCAGTCAAACACTTCAAGAGTTTTAACACGTTTTGCTGTCACTGGGAGTAACTCAAAAAGACCCGGTCAAGGCTGTGGAAGAGTTACAACTCCTGGTCAAGACTCAAGACCGGTTTTTGGGACTTCGTACACTGAGATAAAGATTTGTAACCAGTCATTCTCTACAAAACGAATTGTTGGATCGGTATAATTTTAGAATAAGACAAAATACGATAAGGAGAAGACCTGTGCCCTGGAAGGGCACCCGCTGGACCAATATTGATCAGAGAGCATAGAAGGCAAAGATTGGACTCTACTCGTGAACATGTTGTTTGGAATAATGAAGATCGGGGAAGAATATTGTTCATCGATGAATCCAGGTACTCTTTTTTCTGAAGACAGGCGGAACAGAGTATACAGATGACCTAGGGAACGCTACGCACAGTGTAACATTATAGGGACTATACAGTATGGTGGCGGCTCAGTAATGGTGTGAGTGGGATTAATTTGGGGGCTCGTACGGCGTTAGTTAGGATAGAGGGCGGCTTACAGCACAAAGATATATTACAGACATTTTAGAAGATTTTCAATTGGCAACATGCGCTGTGTGCAATGTTACATCTCTGGTCTCTTCAATCTAAGTTTATCATAAACAGACTGGTCGAAAGAGCACGAATGAAACATGCGGTGAATCGAAATGACAGTAAAAATCATTTCGATTGGAAAAGATAGGGGGCATAAAATGGTAACAAAATCTTACCTTCAGCACAACCCGGATCCTGAAACCTATCTACAGTATTGCTTTCTGGACATATCAAAGCGGCAGCAGGATCCGGGTCAAATCTGCTCTCAGGGGGACTATCGCCGCCTGGTTGGCTTGGTAAATTTGACAAAGAAGACGACGGCCTATAAGCAAACATCTGACCAGGCGAACCGGGTCTACCTGCGGCCTTACTTCCATCTCGAAGCACCGAAGCTCTGTTGGCGGCTTCCTGCTTGATTTCACTTGGGCTGCGTAATGGCCGTTTCATGGCGTTGTCGTATGCCGCTGTCGTGTTCATTCTCTGTTCGTATGGTCGGTAATGGTGGGGATGTATGTATGGCGACATCGTTGGAGAATAACTTGGGGACGGGCTGGATTGATGGTGTGTAGTGTTTGATACTGGTGTGTCGATTTCTTCTTTTGGTACCTGCAATAATATTTATAAATTTCATGAATAATTCTTTTCTACACCTACATGTATAATATTATTTATTCTATGCACAAACTGCAGAACGAGTAAGTAGGCCATCAATCTACTGAACATAATTCAGCCATTCTCTTGTAGACAATTGCATCATGTTAAAATTTCCCGCTAAAACAGTAGTACGTGCAGATAAAAACATTGAACAGAAAGATGCAGAGTAGGCGTAGCGAGAGATACGTCACAAACCGCATCACGTCAATTTTAGAAACAAGTCTTAACACATTCATTTTATTATGGAATTTCTTTTAGTTAATAGTTGTAGGAATCAGTACAGAGAAACATTTGAAAATTACTTAGAGAATTATAGGACAACCGCTAGATGGCCTAACTGAATACCAGCTAAATTGCTTATTTTATTCCAAATTTACAGAGTTAAGATCGTCTAAAAATATACTAGTTAAAATTTATTGAAAATTCCGCTTATTTTTGCCTATCTTGTCATCTAAGAGGTGGGGGAAGTAAAAACTGCAATTCAAATAAAATCCAGCGTTCCTCAGGGTTCGGTCCTGGGACCACTTTTGTTTTTACTGTATACATCAGACTACGTCAATAACTGTGCTGTTCAAATTTTTGAGACGACACACAATTATTTTCAGAATTTCATGTAAATTATTGTGAAAATGCAGTTAACTTAATAAATCATAATTCTTAATTCCTTAAATCATAACTTACATATCAATGCCAGCAAGTCTAAATTGTTAATATTTTGCAATAAATAAGGATTTTGTTAAATCTAAAGCAATTTTAAGTATATCAGGTGAAATAATTCCACATGAATGTGAAGCAAAAAACTTGGGTCTTTACTTTGATGAATATATGAGATTTGATAAACATGTAAACTATATCTAACAGCAATGCTATTCATTCTTCGTGACAAATCCATTAAATCTAATTTATGTCAAAGCTTAGTTTTATCTAAAATACTATACGGTATCACTGTTTACTATCCTTGCTTAACTTTAATAAATCGAAGTCGGCTCCAAATCATGCAAAATACATGTTGTAGGTTCGTAAATGATCTAAGAAAATTTGACCATATTTCTCTGGCATTTTCACGAAGTAAATGGTTGAATGTTGGAAAGCTATTTAAGTAGCTCTCTCTTTTACTGCTATTTAAGATGAGCAACACTTCACAGCCACCATATCTTAAGAACAAATTAATTTATCGAACATCAATGCAAAACGTAAATATAAGAAATAACCTATGACTCGCCACTCAAAAGCTACTTTCACACGCAGCTTTTCATATAATGCGGTTGCTTTGTACAACAACCTTAGTTTTACTATTAGGAAATCTATTTATCTTCTTTCAAAAAAAAAAATTAAAAAGATAGCTGCTGATTTCTCAATCATAAAATAATGTTATATTATATATGTTTTTCTTTTTTGTTTTGGTATTTTATTTCTGCTTTTTTCGTTTTTATTTTGTAAACTATTATGAGTAAATTCAATATATTTTATTTTCTGTTTTTATAAAAATATATACTGAATTGCGGTTAGCCCTAAGAATAGCCTCGGCTAAATCTCGCCGAAAGGAAATGTACACTTTAATTTTGTACAAATAAAGGCATTAAGAAATTAATTATTGTCAATAATCCTCACAAAATACAGTGAAATTTACCTTAGGATGTCTTCCTGGCGATTCATTTCCAGTGTCCATGGCTGGAATGTTATGACTCTGCGCAACAGCAAGTTTTTCATGTTCGATACTCAACCCTTTCACCTGCAGACATTCAGCGGCTTTCAGAAAGCTCGACAACGAATCCTGCGAAACATGTACTTCACCTTTGTACATGAACTCCAACAGCGCCGACATATTAGTCGAGGATGTATTGTCCAGAATCACGAGGAGATTCTGGTGAAGCGGAGCAGTCTCGAAGAGATCTGCCAGGTGTTTGCTACACGCTGCCAGGATTAGTTTGTGAGCTTTAAAAGTTACGCCTGAAACAAAAAGAGAAAAATTTATTTTTTTTTACTATTTTTTACTATTTTTTACTATTTTTTACTATTTTTTACTATTTTTTACTATTTTTTACTATTTTTTACTATTTTTTACTATTTTTTACTATTTTTTACTATTTTTTACTATTTTTTACTATTTTTTACTATTTTTTACTATTTTTTACTATTTTTTACTATTTTTTACTATTTTTTACTATTTTTTACTATTTTTTACTATTTTTTACTATTTTTTACTATTTTTTACTATTTTTTACTATTTTTTACTATTTTTTACTATTTTTTACTATTTTTTACTATTTTTTTACTATTTTTTACTATTTTTTACTATTTTTTACTATTTTTTACTATTTTTTACTCTTTTTTACTATTTTTTACTATTTTTTACTATTTTTTACTATTTTTTACTATTTTTTACTATTTTTTACTATTTTTTACTATTTTTTACTATTTTTTACTATTTTTTACTATTTTTTACTATTTTTTACTATTTTTTACTATTTTTTACTATTTTTTACTATTTTTTACTATTTTTTACTATTTTTTACTATTTTTTACTATTTTTTACTATTTTTTACTATTTTTTACTATTTTTTACTATTTTTTACTATTTTTTACTATTTTTTACTATTTTTTACTATTTTTTACTATTTTTTACTATTTTTTACTATTTTTTACTATTTTTTACTATTTTTTACTATTTTTTACTATTTTTTACTATTTTTTTACTATTTTTTACTATTTTTTACTATTTTTTACTATTTTTTACTATTTTTTTACTATTTTTTACTATTTTTTACTATTTTTTACTATTTTTTACTATTTTTTACTATTTTTTATTATTTTTTACTATTCTTTACTATTCTTTACTATTCTTTACTATTCTTTACTATTTTTTACTATTTTTTACTATTTTTTACTATTTTTTACTATTTTTTACTATTTTTTACTATTTTTTACTATTTTTTACTATTTTTTACTATTTTTTACTATTTTTTACTATTTTTTTACTATTTTTTTACTATTTTTTACTATTTTTTACTATTTTTTACTATTTTTTACTATTTTTTACTATTTTTTACTATTTTTTACTATTTTTTACTATTTTTTACTATTTTTTACTATTTTTTACTATTTTTTACTATTTTTTACTATTTTTTACTATTTTTTACTATTTTTTACTATTTTTCACTATTTTTTACTATTTTTTACTATTTTTTACTATTTTTTACTATTTTTTACTATTTTTTACTATTTTTTACTATTTTTTACTATTTTTTACTATTTTTAACTATTTTTTACTATTTTTTACTATTTTTTACTATTTTTAAGTGTTTTTACTATTTTGACTGTTTTTTACATTTATCAAACAGAACACAAGTAGTAGTAAATAATAATGAGAGAATAACTACTATTAAATATATAGTAGCAGTACCGCAAGGATCAATATTAGGGTTAGTACGTGATATTAATAAATTTTGTATTAGTCCTCATCGGATTATCCAATGGGATGATGATACAAACATTCTTAAAGAAATAAATATAATATAAAATAAATATCCGTGTTGAAAAAGTTTAAAGCTATTTTTTATTATACACTACAATGTAAATGAATTATTAACTTACACACAACTAACTTATTGTGGGGTAAGTAGTCAAAAAAAAAAAAACAAAAACCGGTGTTATCTGACAAGTCGCATATTAGCATATAGTAACGATTAAAAGTACAAATAACTTGTTCCTTAAGTCAAAATTTGATTCAAAAAAGAACATTTAAATTAGTGATGTCGCTAGACAAGAGATTCTCCTCTCATTTTAACGAAACGAGAGACATTTTCTCTCGAAAACAGAGACGAGACGAGAATTTTTTGTTTTTCTCGAGCTCTTTCGAGCAATTTACTTTTTACTTATTTCAAATTTTCAATTGCTTATTGTAACTTAAAATTTTATACGTATCAGATTTTCAGATAGTCAAAAAGTTAACCATAATACACGTATTCTATATACATATATTAAATGATAACAATTAATATGTGTGCAATTGGGATTTTATAAATAGTGATTTATAAGAAAAATTATTTTTCATGTTTACTTTTAAATTAATTTTAAATGGAAGCTGCAAGAAGTTTTTTATCGACTTAAAACTAAAATTTCAAACAAAAAAGGTTATATTCATCGTGATTTTAATTTACTCTATTCAGTAAATATTTCAATCAATGATAAGTGTATTAGAAATTTTTGAATTTTTATCAAATTTTATGCTTGATTATGGATTCCGAAGTAATGCAGAACTTTTTAACAAGATTTTTTTGTGAATTTTAAGATAAATTTTTGTATCAGGTTTTATATTGTACCACTTGTTAGGTAACCTACAGCAATTTTTTATATCGCGAATTATTCCAAATAACAGACAAATAAGTCATTATAGAAGTTTCAAAGCTATTTGTAATTATCATTATTCAAATATATTGTACAAATTATTCTTATATTATTAGCAAAAATTAATATATTGTGTTAAAAATTAATATTTCAATTTAGTGCTCGAATAATATTGAAAGTAGTTACGACTGACCGAGTTTCACACAATTTATAATCTCCTGCCCACCAAACTCTTCACTTACATCACGCCCTTCTCCTTCGTTTAAACAAACGTCACTTTCTAGTATTGGCATTTAATATTTACGTTATATACAACATATGTAGGTACATATAAAAAATTTATCGGAATAGGTACTTAAAGACCATAATGAATTCTATAAAACCAAACATGTTTTATTCAATCAAAATGTTTGATCGTTGAATTCGATTTACATTAATTTCAAATTCATCATTTTGTAGGTGTCTATCACCAATGTCTGACTTACATTAGAATGGATGGAAATATATGTGGAAATAAGTGAAGCAATACACTCACTAAACGGTAAATAGAGATATTTCAGGAAGAGTTTAAATTTTCTATAAGTAGTGACGATTAAAATTCTAATAAACAAAGCAGGTATTTTTTTTTTTAATTTCTAATGATTGAATGGAAGGGACATATAAATTATGTTCAGAAAAGAACCCAAAATGCTTTAAATATAATTAAAACTTTTAGTTGTCATAATTAGGGCTCTGACCCAAATGTTAGTCTAATGTTTTATAGAATGTAGGTTCGTCCAATTATAGATTATGGTTCAATTTTTTATAAAACAGCAGCAAACTCACATCTTCAGAAAATTGAACAAATTAAAAATAAATGCCCGAGACTCTGCGTAGGATTTTTACTAAGCACTCCTATAAATGTTATGGAAGTCGAAACATGTGAATGTCCATTGGATCTAAGAAGGAAATTTCTGAGCGATACATTACTGAGGCCCTTCCTATGGGGCCTTAGTATTGCATTCGTGCAGACGAAAAATTTTCTTACCCCCATTTTTTAAAACTTTATTTCATGTTTTCGATCATTCTAAGTCCGAACATGCAAAAAAAAATTCGTTTGGTCGTCTGTGTATATGTATGCCGGCACGATAACTCTAGAACGAAAGTTCTGATTAACTTGCGGTTTTGATTTTCTTGAATATAATTACTTCTAACTTAGAACCCTATTGATTCTCAGAATTTTCGGTTCATCCTAACACTTTAATATCAATTTTCTTAAAATCCGCATATGTATTTCTTATGTGACAATTTCAGGAATTCCAATTATTTCTAACGTCAACATTCCTAACATTCTCAACATTCCATAAATTGCAAACATTCTCTAACGACCTGTCAAACAACAGCTGTTGATAGTAAAGGTGAAATTTCTAAGGCGGGTTGCGACCTTCATACTTGCAACTATAGCCATTTTGGAGGCTTTTTTATTCGAAATTAGTCGCCAAGCCTGCCAATTTATAAAAAATATATAACCAGTTTCTTAAAAATGATTTTTTTATGGTCGTGCTAACTTAAGCGTACTACTATTTCGCCCCTAGCTACAAAAACACCTTTATAACTGGCTCTCTGTCGCAACCCCATAGAATAATTAACCGGCCATTTTATTTGCCAAAAATCAGAACAATGCTTGTTTGTTTTATGAAACTTTAGACAAAATCTGAAAACAGGCAACGACGTCTGCAAAAATTAAAAAAACCCTTTTGTACTAGAAGTCAAAATGTGACCCAACAGAAACATACAAATAAAATTTAAGGTCACCCTGTTTAGTCTACTTAAAACCTTAAAATATAATAGTATATTATGCAACGATCATGTAATAACCATTACATGAGAGTTGCATACGCTATTTTTTCTACACCCGATAAATAATCAAGACCTATAAATATTCTATTTATATTGGCATTGAACACAATAACAGTAATTACTCGTATTTCCATAAAAAATTCTACAAAATTGTAATTAATGGTATTACCTTGGGTATTGGTATTACCACAGATTTTTGGGGCAAAATATTTTTTACTGCATTTTCTCCTTTCTCCGATATGTGTGGAGAAGTCTTCTATATCGCTGATATCAGACATTTTAATATTATAATTATCGAAGTTTAGCTATCTACGAAAATTTAATACGTTTTGACAACTAAAACAATTACATAGGAATTTAGGACAAACGTCAAACATCATGCTTGATTGAAAAATTGTAGGTTTCTATTGATTAAAAATCTGTATCATAATGAAAAATCTGTATCATAATGGGTATCATTATGAAACGGATTATGGGCATATAAGTGCATTATTATAATACGGGTGTAGAAAAATATTATTATAAAACAAAATTACACAACCAATAAAATTAAAAATCGAATTAAAAATAAGTATTAATTTATTGTTACAGTTAAGTCAGGCCAGTATTTTGTATTAAATCTGGAACAGAAAAGGTCACGTTGTTGATAAACTTTTTGTATTAAGTATTAAAACTTAAGAAAACTGCTGTTTGAGTAAATTTTAAGCAGAAATATACCTGAAATAAATCTAAAATATTTCATGCTAATAAAATAGCATATTCTA